AGAGAACAATGTTTCAGAGTCCGATGGATCGATTCGTTCACACGCTATGAAAAGCTAATTCAGTTGAGTGTTGAAACACTCAGGAGTATTGCATACATGAATCCTTTTGCATTCCACCGATACTTTTGACAGTGGTAGAGCCTGCTTTAATGGGTCTGCACTCCCGGTGGAATATCACGAACACACAGAAGTCGTCAAGTGCAAGCAAAACGTTTCGTGAGATGAGTGTGTATGCCGTGCCTAATTTTTGTCATTTCTGGACATGTTAAATGCATGTAAATGTTATTGTACGTTACAAATGGTGTTTCAGGGTGTTCGACCGCGACGACAACGGGTACATAACGCGCGACGAGCTGCGCGCCGCACTCGAGATGATCGGCGAGCCGGTCACTGACGCGCAACTCAACCAGGTGCTCGCGCTCGGCGACATCGACCACGACGGACGCATCGACTACGAAGGTACACAACACATTGTATAATGGACTTTGTGGCAGTACACCTTAAAATAAAAGGTCGGGTGATAAAAAGAGAGTAACTACTTCGCTCCTGGTGAACTGATTTTTATTCTTATTTCAATATTGGAATTAGTAGTGTTCTGTGTTTTATTTGATATCTTGCGTGTTCAAGACTATTGGTATTTGCTTTTAAATATCAGTGTTTTTGTTTTATGAAATAATATTTTAATTTTTTATTTCAGAGTTCCTGAAGATGCTGTTATAAATTGTACCTCATTGAGCAAGAAAGACCTCATTAGATTTAATATAATATGAAATTGGTTTGATAGCAATAATGTTATCATGGCGGATGCGTCGGGTATTAGTGGAAGGTGCACTTTTATACGGTTACTATTAAAAAGACAGTATAAATAAAGCTCTTCCATAGAGATTGTCTTAGATAATGTCTGTTTGTAGTTTTTATAAAGTTTGTGAACACGTACTTATTTTAAAGGCTCTAAAGTGCCTATGAATCTTCTTAATTTGCAATTTATTATGGCTTTTAATGTATGCTATTAATGTAGAAATAAATAGTTTTGTTGCCCATTAGAAGATTATTGAGATTTTTCGCTCTAGATGGCGTCCTTGAGCTGGATTACTTATTTAAGACTTACATTTAACTTTTTTTTGTCTCTAACACATTAATCGTTTTAAAAAACTGGGTTAGGGCGCCATCTAGTAGCGACCGTTTTCCTTCATTATAATTTAGGTAGGTATGATAGTTGCACCAAGAGACTTTTAAAAATAAATTCGATTTTTGTTGTTTTTTTAACATTATCCGTTAAAAGCTATGATATGTATTAAGTACCTACACTTGCAAATAAGAAACTTTTTCTTACTACTAGCAAAAGCATCGGCCTAAGAACCAGGACAATATTTATACCAAAGATTTATTCATCGACGATGTATTTGATTATAATTGTATTACAAATAATTGTATAACAAGATTTTTAATTTAGATTTATATCTTTAATGTACATTTTATTTAATTTGTATAAATTTTTACTATGTTCATACCTACCTATGCCATCATAAATCATTATTGTAATTTTATGGTTGTGAAAGATAATTTTTATCGAAACGTTGTACATAATTACATTGCTTTTTACGATTCTTTGGTCATATTCAGAGTTAAACAGTAAAAATATTAATTTTCGCAAAATAAAAGTATTTTTGTACTTAATGAATAATTTTCTTTATTTGAAATCAGAAAGTGAATTTGAAGGTTTTTTTTACTGAAAAAAATCAGGAATTTTTATTAAAAAAAAATTGCCTTTAAAAGGCTTGTGATGTGCTTGAACGTGATCAATAAAATCATGAATTCATTGTTTATTTTATTTTGTGTTAATCAACTCCCGCCAAAAACTTTTCAACGAACGTCTTCGGTTTTGGCTCCGCAGTGGGATTCCAATTGGACATAACGTAACTTTTTTGTTGCCATTGATGGGTTACTTCTTTCAATTCCATATAACCCTGGAAAATGATATAACAAACTCCTAACACTGACCTCTACATGGATAGATTATAAGCCATTTGGTGCCTGACTTTGGCTATTTTCACGTTGGATTCCAATTAATAATTAAGATAGAATAAACTGTACCATCAACAAGCGCGTTTAAGTTGAAATAAAACAAAAGCTGTCCATACAATGGTTTATCAAAGGGTTTATCCATCTATATAGATCAGTTTTAGCCCACAAATCTCTATTGAATTATTTTAAAGCACATACTGTAATTTATAAAATAGTCGAGAGAACCGACTACTGTGTAGAAGAAATTATTGGGTCAAAAGTTCGTAAGTGTTGGATTGAATGTGGATGGCTACAAAGGTAGAGGAAGACCGAAAGTATGGATGGATTGTGTGAAAGAGGATATGCTTAAGAAAGGAGTGAATTCAGATATGACGGCTGATAGAGATGTATGGAAGAGCAGCATATACTGTACCGACCCTCCGTAAGGGATAAGGGCAAGTGGATGATGGTGATGATTTTGTAAGACTTCAACGAGAGCGGGAATACATGAATAAATATTAGTGTAGTGACAAATCATACCTTGATAACTAAGATATCGACGACCCGAACATCAGAGACTTTTTTGTTACGATAAAAATTTTCTCGTATCTTTTTTCGACAGTCCTCATGATTCTTTGGGATGTCGAAATATTTTACTGCAAAATAATTTGTGAAATCCTTATGGGTTATTTCAAATAATCCTAGCCCTATACTGTTTAAATCTTTAAATTTATAAAACTAGGTAAATAATGGTGAGGTGTATAAATTCATATAAGGTTTCTCCGTCCCTGGTGCCTTTGAAAGACTGGTGAAAAAGCATTTCAACATAGAATTTTACAATAAACTTACATATATAAGGAATGTATCGATAGAACGCCCTATACAGTCCTATAACACGCGTGTGTGCTTGTTCCATATTTGCGGACATCACAGGCCGGGCGACTCGCATACATGTTTTTGCAGCTTCCTTCGACATATTATTTACGATAATCGAGATACCAAAAATTTCTTATACTTGATTCTTTGACTAATTTAAATAAAGCAAATATTTAAAAGTCAACTTTTGATTCAATTTTTTTTTATATTCTTTCAAAGTGACAGTACTTTGAGATACTATATAAATTGAAATAAGAACTTTTTTAACTAACTTTTTTCATTACTAAATAAACAAGTATTGTACTTGTATTTTTTATTTTACATTTTTCATACATTAACAAATTATAAAGATTATTCTTACTATCAATATTCTAGGATTTCATTAAATATGGTCACATGATTTTTAATAGAACAGCAAGGAACATGACTAC